CCTATAAATCTGCCCCCCTGCCTCTACAACAGCCAAGTCAGCAGTGAGAGGTCAGGCACCAGCCTGTCCCCCACACCCCACAATGACCTGCCAACAGCTCCAGTCGTGAGCACAGGACTCCCCTGGGACGGTGGGCACCGCTGGCACCCACCCCCTCCCAAGCTAGTTTCAGGTAGGTCTCTCTGGCAAAGGCTGTTCCTCCAGAGTTTTCTCGACTGATCTCAAGTTGGCAAGCAGGCTTGCCAGCCTCAGGCTGTCCTATCTTGACCTCACCAGAGTTTGCTCCCCGGCCCCACAAGCCTGAACTCTGGTATCACCTGGGAACAGTATCCATGCCTCCACCTTGTGCCTGGCACTTCCCAAGGTACTTCTGTTCATTTTTCATAGTGCCCCACAGAGCAGGTTTGGATGGAGTCGGGAACCTGCGTTTTGGAAGGCATTACCAGCCCCCTCCTGCCAGTGTCCACGATGGCCAAGCTCCCAAATCTAGTCAGGTGGTGCCTTCTCCCCAGACCAGTCCACAGCAGAAGCGCCCGTTCCGATAGCCTCCTGGAAAGCGAGACTCTGCCAGCAAACGGGTACCTACCGTGCCCTTCCTTTGTTTTCTGAGGGACAGGAGGAAAAGGGGGAAAGGTGGAAGGTTATTTTTAAAGATTATTTCTTATTATTAGTGAGTGTAAAATGCAGGTGTGACCTCGGAGCAGCACACACCTGAGCGTCAGGGGACAACGTTCAAGTCAGTTTCCTCCTCCGACTGTGAGTTCAGGGGAATAAAACACAGATGTCAGACATGCTTAGCAGTGATTTTACCCACTGAGCTGCTGTGGATGGGAGACTGGGATTTTAGCCTCTTAGGAAGAGAAGCCAGTGCTTAACCTTCAACCCCGGGACATAGAGATCCAGCGAGAGGATGCATGAGCATGGACCACGGATGCTTCCTAGATCCAAACTTGACAGCTGCACATCTCCAGATTCCTCCAACACTGTCCACTCTCTCCTACACGCAGACCCCCCCCTCAGGGCCCTCTCCCTACACCTGTACCTCCAGCCAGGACTCTCAGGAGCACTGAGACCACAACTGGGTACAGTGTATCCAGTCCAGTTTCCTGCTGGGCAGAGAAGGGACTTTCAGGCCTCAGAGGGACAGTGCTGAAATCAAAATCACAGGACAGCTGGCTCCACAGGGCACCTTCATCTCCTCAGTCCTCCTGGGCAAGCCAACACAGAGGGACTGGCTTCAGACTGATTTCCAAATTCCCCAGTTGCGCAGATCATGCCAAAAGGGAGGTGGGGCGGGGGCGGGGCACACCCACATCGGGTGAGAAGTCATCTGCCTGTCCATTCTCCTCAGGCCCGGGGCCAGTTAGGGCAACTAGAGACTGAAGCTCTAGTGCCTTATAATGTCTAAATAAAAACACTGCTGTGCCATAAGTATAGGCTCATGAGATTCTGATCCCGTCCCCCTCCCCCATGGCGTATGCCGAACTTGCCACTGAGCCAGGGAGTAAGCCAACCAGGAGCCACCAGAGAAACTGGGGTGTCTTTTCTGGAATTGTGCCGGGGTCAGAGATGGAGGAGTTTAAACCGTCCAGGCAGATTGTTCTGCAGAACACACCAAATGGCCACACCCACAAGCCGGGTTCCTGCAGGGTCTGTGCTGGCTGATTCAGACCTCCCATCTCCTGTGCCATAGCCCAGGCTTGCTGGCTTCCCCACCTGGGAGCTACACCCAGAAGAAGGCCAGCGAATCGGCTGCCTTGCCACCAGGGTCAGCTGGGAGAGCCTGGGAGAGGCTCTGGATCTCAGCCCCCACTCTTCCCCTCATCCGCTCTCCACAAATGGCCCGCTTTCCCACTGATGGTCCAGTGGCCACTGAAAAGCAAAAAGAGAGCCGCTGAGAGTGAAGTGAAGCCCTCAGCTGCCCAGCGTGATGATCTGGGGTTCACGTAGTAGAAGATATGCCCACATATACATACCAATAAATAGTCAGAATATGCTAAGTTATTCCAAAATGCAAAGAAGCAAGCCTGAGGCAGGAAAGGTCTCCCAGATAGCACCCCCAGCTTTTGATCAAGAAGCCACAGTTCCTGGTGTGCTTCCCTGAGTACTCCATGTAACTTCCCCATGGCCATGTATGTGGGCAAGGTACAGTCAACATGAGAACCTGCCAGGCTCAAGAGCCTAAGCTCTCAGTCACACTGCACCCTTCTCAACCAACAGAGAGAAACAGGGAGATTCAAAACACAAGCCACACTACCCTGAACATGCCCAACCTCCCAGTGTGTGTGTGTGTGTGTGTCGGGGGGCACTCATGGGAGAGCTGCCAGGTTGTGCCAGCCACTGCACACATTTTAAAATCTAAGCCTCACCATGACACCCCAAGGTAAGAATCATAACCCTTGATTCACAAAGGAGAAATTGGGATACAGTCACCTAGCCAAGGCTACCCTGCCTACAGGGGGATCAGAACTGGAGCCCCAATACACCCAAACCCACCATGTGCCCTGGTGCGCTGGTGGCACATGATCCCTGCCTCCTGCTGCAACTCTTTACCACAGATTAGGAGCGCCTGTGCTTTTGTGCAGAAGTCCTGACGCTAGCCAAATATTTACCAGCCTTCCAGAGGGCAGGCAAGCACCCCGAGAGGGGAATCAACCCCCAGGAAGTAGGGAGGGCCAAGCAGTTGCTAGATAAAGGGGGTGCAGTCAGGGGTAGTGTCACTATCCTGGAGAATTCAGACAGCTCAACTGTGTACAAAGAGGCAGCTGTGAAGAAAGCCCTGAGAGACACTCAAAAGGCCAGCAGGGAAGGCAAGAGTAAAACACGGGGACCGGGTAGTTTCTAAGTATTATCCCGCCTAGGGCTGGAGACGTGGCTCGGCGGTTGTGAGTACCACACAGCCTTCTCTAACTCCAGACACAACCTCTCCCGGCCTTCTTGGGCACCAGGCATGCATATGGTACACAAACATTTGTTCGGACAAAACACCTATGTACATAAAACAAATAACAAAGCTTTCAAAGCTGCCAGGACTGGACTGCAGAGACCAGGGGGCTAGCTCCTCTCAGCGCTCTCTTCGATCATTCCTATCCCGCTGGGCAAAATTTGATCTTTAATCTTTAATAAGTGGAGATTTTATTTAAAAAAAAAAATCTAGAAGGGCGAGGTTAATTATTCACAGGGTTACAATTTACTTAAGAGTTGAGGAAACGAAAGTCTCCTCCCAGCAAGCAGTACCTGAATCCAGCATGGTCTCCCTGGAGGTCTGGCTAAAATCCTCCTCCCATCAGCTTTCCACCTTGCACTTAGCTGCTTCCGGAAAAAGGCTCCAGCACAAACAAGCCTGACCATCCAGTCACTTCCTCCTGAGAATCCTTGAGGTACCCATCTTCCAAGGATGGAATAGGGTGTGGTGCTGGGACCAGGAAGGAGGTGTCTGCCAGGAGACACAGCAAAGCTGCAAAGCCCTCAACTAAAACACTTACTTTTGCTAAACGTATTTGCAGAAATCAGTTGCTGGAGGATAGGCTAGCCCAGCCTAAAGCCTAGTTCAGTCAATCTCCCCCTCCTCATGGAGAAAACAAACAAATAAAACCCACAGAGGAAAAAAAAAAAAAAATCAAACCATTCACTTCCCCCAAAGAAATGAAGGACTAAATCATTAAAAAATTCTACCACCTGGCTAGGTACTGAGGCCCCGGATGCTGGGGGCTCCTGATTCCCAGTGACTTGTGTCCCACATTTCAAAGTTTGACCCCTGCAGGGGCGGGCGCAAAGCAGCCGGTTTGGCAAACTTTTCTGCATCGCGTGGCTCCAGCTCACTTATGGGTCTGTGGATGGTTCATGACCACAAAATACTATGGACATTGTCACTTCATTTGCTTTTTGATGCTTATGCTGGGGGGCTGGGTTAACAGGATAACTTGTTTTTCCAGCCTGATCCTGAGCCCCAAAGAAAGCATTCTTCGTCATTAGGAACAAGGCCTCCAGTTAAAGTGCCCACCAGTGTTCCGCTCCCTCAACAATTTCTGTCTCAAAACAGAGTCTGTCAAGATGCTAGGAAATCCACACTAGGGTTAAAGAAGCTCTTCCGTCCTGCAGGCAATAGTGCATTCCACCAACTAGAGCCTGTGGGACAAGGCTCTCTTGGACAAAACTCAGGCTATGATCTTGCTGGGGCTCACCAGCCGAATCCCACATCTCTGAGACTTCTCTCCACACCTAGCTCCCTCTCCCGTTCCCACTGCTACGGGGGGGGGGGGGGGGGGACAGCAGTCCGAGTATGATTTGTACAGGGACTACCTCTCTCATGGTGCCCACAAGCATGGGAAAAAACACCTGTGGAAAAGTACCTTTTACATGACCTTTGTTCAACAGCCTAAAGGGTGGGCCAACCTGGTTTCTCCTTCTCCAGCCTCCAAGCTTCTAGAAACCGCTCTCATGCCGCTTCCCAATGCCAGGAAGAAGGGGCCAGCAGTGCCCTATTTGGCCAAGTTGCCCTTCATACACAGAGTTCAAGTCTCCTAAGTGCACGCTCCTAAATATTTTTCCAAGGCTGCCGAGACAGCCACACAATGCAACATAAGGGGCCACGTTCAGGGACCCGAGATTTCAAGGCTTTGTGTGGAATTTGCGTGTGTGTGTGGGGTAGGTGGAGATAAAGTTTTAAGAGTAATAGAGCTTAAGAGAAAAGGGGCTTTTTTTCAGTATAAAACTTGATGGGGGTCAGTATTGGGTTACATATGAAAAGGAGCAGACTCTAGCTAGAGATGTACCCACAGACTGTTTAAGACCGAGAGTGGAGAGGCAGGGGCTCCGCACCCAGCCCGCCTACCCAGGAGCAAGTCCAGAAATCAGGCTCTATCTTCCCCACCCCCAAGCTCAAGGTTGGCGCCACACTGCAAGGCAGGCCGGTCCAGAAAAAAAAAAAAAAAAAAAAAAAAGCCATTTCTCCTCCGACCCCAGGTCACCCAAGCGAGGACCCAGATCTCTTCTGGAAGATGCCGACTCACACTTTCAAGTGCGTGGAGATTTCTCTACTGAAGCACGGACATTCCCCCCTAAACGGCTCGGGCTCCCTCCAGGCCCAGGCGGAGCGCACGAGGACCGCGAAGGGGCCGGCCTCGGGCGCCGAGGAGCGTGGAGAAAATGCCGGTCCTGGGCACCGAGGACTGGGACTTTGCAGGCCAGTTGAACTGACACCCTCATCTTGCCCGCAAAGACCCAGCTCTCAGCTCCCGTCCGTCCTGCAGTTCGGGCCGCCGCGTGCCCCCGACGGGCTGCCGGGGGCTGAGTCCCGCCGCCGCCCGCTCTCGGCACCGCGGAGGCTTTGGGGACACAGTTTCGCCGAGAAGCCACCTGCCCCCTCCCAGCCTCGAAACGCGCGGCCTCCGAAGCCAAGCCTCGAAGGGGTCCCACGGCGCGAGCGCACGGGGCACCAAGGACGGTGCCGGGGGACGCGGAGGTGTGCGCCCCCGGCCGCCCCCCGGCTTCGCCTCCACCCGAGGGCAGGGGCTGCGCGCCCAGAAACTTCCCAGCGCCCGCACGCCGCGCCCGCGAGGCCCAGCCGTGCGCCGCCCGGTTACCTGTGCCCAGCCCGGCGACGCGGGCCCGGGCCCCGGCGACCCACGCCGCCTCCTCCCGCACCGCGGCCGCAGCCCGAGTCGCGTGCCCCGCCATCCCCGCAGCCCGGTCCGCGGCCTCTCCAGACCTGCTCCAGGGGCTTGGGGACCGCCGCGCCGGAGGGGACGCGTGCGCGGCCGCGGGGCCCCTCGAAAGTGGCGGGGCTCCCCTCGGCGCGACCCGGCTCCCACGTGCTGGTGACACATCGGGGAAGCCGCGCGCGCCCCGCGCCTCCCGGACGACCGACGCGACCAGCGCCCCGGCCCGCGCAGCCTCCCCCAGCCCGGCCGGCCGCGCTCCGCCTCGGCCCGCCCTCCGCCCGCCCCTCGCCGGC